AAAGTGAAATGTCTACCAAACCAGAGGAGCTGAAAAGAGCCTTTGAGAGAGAACTTAGTGAGTAGATATTCATAATAATTGTTTTATTAGTATTATTAATGATAGATGTTAGTGATTTTCAATTGGTATGGGAAAAAGCTGGTGTTCTTTCAGGACGCTGGGACTCTATGGCTATCATGTTAGGATTGAGCCCTAATAAGTTATATGAGATTGAAGCAGGGGGCAAACCACCAAGAACTTGTTTCTGGAAAGTATTTGATTGCTGGTTAAAGAAGGACTATGACTATAAGAGTCATGGTGTCCCTACATTAAGAATGCTGTGTAACTCCATTAAAAGTAATAGTGGAGGAGCTGATCCAGCTCTAGCTGATGAAATAGCAAAAGAATATACCATTAATCTTACTAGTAGTGGAGAGGCTACTACATCACCAGTTCATGCTTCATCTTCTAAAGGTACCGTAGATAAAATACAATAATCAATGATCATATTTTTATTTAATATTATTTTATGAAGGTACTCCAACTGTTGAGCTACCAGTTCCTACTTCACCTCAATCTGAGTCTTCAGTTGCTTACGTTAAGAAAAAATCAATTGAATATTCACCTGAAAACCTGACACGAATGATTGGAGATCTACGAGAAGTTTACCTTGATAATATGTATCATACAGAGAAGTCTTTTTGTTCTATTGATGTCTCGGAAGTTGTTGATTTTATTCAACATTACATCTCACTTTTACTCAGTCCACGTTTTGATAAACAAGAAATGATTGAATCAATTGAAGACGAGTTTGACCATGTTAAAACAATAAAGCAGCTTTTTAAAGGATTAAGAAAGTACGTCTCGTGGTTTAATTTTGAACTTGTTGTCAAGTTAGTCAATACTTTCATTACTGATGAGAGAGATTTACAGAGGAAATGGTCTACATATCGTGAGAAATTAAAAGATTATTTCAAAAATAACAATACTCCAGCAGTTCAAATTGCAGACTCAATTGAGTTTGGTCTTTCTGATGTTCCAGGCACTAAAGTAATGATTGCTAAGGTTGCCAGAGACGACTACACATTAAATGATTTATATTTCTTTCACAAGCTAATTGCCGATGCACTTGAAGTTCCTCAATATAAGTTCTACTTTTGTACGATTAATGATGGCTGCATGGAATTAAAATATTCCATTCCTGATTTTCTTTATTCTGTTCTCTTTCCATTAACCAATCAACAGCGTGATTCATTGGCTGAAATTGGAATCATAAAAATTACTTGTCATGAATATGTACGTGAAATGAAGCAGGTACGTTAATAACTACTTAAAATTAATTAATATTATTTTAATATATTTATAGCTGCCAAAGAATGAATTAAAGAAGCTTCATGATTCTCCTATTGGTAATTATTATTATTATTAACTTTATTTATGATATATTATATAGATATTTATGATCCTCTCTGGTATCAGAATACCAGCACTCCATTGAATGAAGCATGTTGGAGAGGATTAAAAGATGAAGTGCAACGATTGATTGACAAGACTGGCCTTCAGGAAAGAGGTAAAAATGGATGGAGTCCACCATTAGCTGCTTCATATGGTGGCCACATTGATGTCCTCTGTCTCCTCATTGATGTTTATCATTGCGATCCTTCACAAGGTGATGATGATAGTGTTATTAGTTTACACATGGCCTCATATAAAGGCCATCTCAATATTGCACAGTATCTAGTTAATGAATGTCACGTTGATCCAGACATAGCAGATAGCTCTGGTAACACAGGATTGCTTTACTCAGCACTGGGTGGTCACGTTGACCTCGTGATTATGTTTTTAAAGAAGAAGTGTAACGTGTCTCAGGTGAATAGAGAAGGATCGACTTTATCATTATTAGTGTGTAAGAGTGGAGAGGTAGCATTAGTTGATCAGCTTAAGCAGTTTGGAATTTTCTCAAAAGATGAGATAGATTTTAACGGATGTGGAATAGTACATTATTGTGCTATGAGTGATAGTGTAGAGCTTCTAGAGTATCTTTATAATAATCATAAAAGTGAATTATTTCAAAAAAGAAATCGTTTTGGTGCAACACCACTTCATGTAGCATGCCAGTATGCTTCATCAGGTTTCATTATGAAAATGGTAAATATTTTTGGATATAAAGTATTACTAGAAGCTGATTATAGTGGTCGCTCTTCTCTTCATTACTTATGCAGTGGATTGGTTGATAAATACTGCATTACAGAAGTGTATAATAAGCTCACTGCACCATGTGATATACCTTTACTTAAACAATTCTATTATATGAATTTTGAGAAAGCCTGTTCTATGTTTATATCACTAAATATAAATGTTACTAAACAGCATAAAAGAATGAGCCTTTTGTCTACACTCATCAAGAAGACAAGCATTATTAATAATTTCAATATAAATTCTATTACTGCTACTGGTCAATCATTGGTTCATTTAGCATGTACTAGTGGTAGTATATTATTAATGAAGGTATTAGAGGAGTATGGTATTAATACAAGTTCATTAGATTATGAGGGTCTGTCTGCAGTACATTATGCTGCTTTATCAGGTTCACCTACTCTACTCAGTTATACTGTATCTGAGTATAGGTTGAATGCCTGTCAACCAGACTACAAAGGTGTAGTACCATTAGCATTAGCTTGTAAGTCAGGTAGTATCAATGCAGTAGAATATATTATGAATACTACTGACATTGATATTAATATAACCTGTAATGAGGGTAGAACGCCTCTTCATTATTCATGTACTCATAGTAACGTTGATCTCAGTCAATATCTCATTGAAGTACAAGACAGTGACATTAACATAACAGATGATCATAAATGGAATGCATTGACTCATAGTGTTAGCTGTGGTAACATGAAGCTAGTCCAATACCTCATTAATAATTATCAATTGCCTCTCACATCATTTGCATTACTTCAAGCAGTAAATAGTACTAAACTGTCATTAATTAAATTATTAGTTAATGAATATAAACTAGATCCTCAAGTTAAAAGTAGTGATGGTATGCAAGCAGTTCATTATGCAGCTGAAGTTGGTGCTATTGATGTCTTAGAGTATTTAGTAAAAGATTGTGGATGTAATTTGGATAGAGTAGGGGGAACAGACAAAAAAAATGTGTTTCATTTTTCTACATTGAATGGTCATTTTTCATTTATTAAATATATTATTAATAATTATCCAGAATGTACTAGTCTACTACATTCTACTAATGATACTAATACTCTGCCAATTCATACTGCCGGTGCTAGTGGTGTAATGCAACTAGTGACATTTCTAATTGATGAAATGAAATGTGATGTCACTACTGAAAATAAGTATGGCTTCACTTGTGTCAGGGCATGTCTTTCTGGTAATCTTAATCTTTTAAAATTATTAATAAAACAATACAACCTTAATCCTAAAATATTTGGTAGGATGTCATCACCAGAAGCTGCAGTGCTAGATGGACATGTTCATATACTAGAATGGCTCAGACAAGAGTATCATATCAATGTAGCCTCATTTAAGAATGGTGTATTACCTTTTTATGCTGCACAATACAACCGTTTGTATTGTTTAAAGCATTTACTAAATAATTATTCATTTGATATTAATGCCACT